CCCTCTTACTAGGAAATCAGACAGCAGCTAGCAAGTCGGCTGTCCTTGAGCTAATACAGGCTGCAGCCAGATGAAGCTAACTAAATGAACTCTCAGTTTTCCCCTTTGCCCCTCTGTATCGTGAGATCTTTGGCAAAATTAAGTTCAAAGTTTCAAGGGAATGCCCTGGGAATCAGCTGATTGAGACGCTTTGAGCATGAAGATACCCTGGGGAGGTAGCAAGAAACGACCTCCATTTATCTGCAGGACTAGTGACATTTCAGGAACAACAAGCACTAGGGGGAGGCAGCAAGAAGCTTTCACAGTCTGTAACATCACAGATGGTCCCATGCTTTGCTGCTTATGTAGGCTGGCCTGTCCCAAAACAAAGCTGCACCTTTCTCTGGCCGTTGGGGCCTGCTGCCCCATCCTTTACAGCATCTTCCTGTCTTTTGAGGCAACATAGTGCTCCCAAGCCAGCCCTCTGGCTCAGCACCCACCTACCCTTTGCACAGCACTCTCCTTATTTCCAGGGGCAGAGTTGGTAGAAATTTTAATTTGCAAGTGACGACTCAAAAGCAGATACGTAGAAACAGACTTGCCAGCAGTGACCTGTTCATGTGTGTATATGAAAATAAACAAGGAAGCATATTAAAAATGCTCTCACTTAACAGAAACAAGCATGCAAGAGGAAATAGTGAAAGAAAGTTCAGTCTAAGCTCCACCACAATGGGGAATGCAACAACGAAAGTCACGGGCATTCTTGTGAGAAAACAGTCTCCAGAGGCCTCTCCCACTGCAGAGAGAAACCATCAGCAAACAGAGCAAGATGCATAACATCATAGCTTTGGCTAGGAATCTTCACAGAGGTATGCAGAGTCCCCTATCCTACTACCCATCCACCAAGATGTCCTAAAATCATAAATGATTCATCTCAATACACCTTATAATTTTTTTTTTTTTAAATATCCCACTGAACCAGTAAAAGCAGAGGCTTTTAAACAGGCATTTAAACCCACCAAAACATGTGAAGTTATGACCCCCAGTGACCAGGGACAGGTTGGGCTTGTTTGCACAAATAACCCCTCTTTCGGGAGCTCTCCCATTCAGGCTTGGTTCAACCCAAACCCTTCCAAGCTGGCAGTCGAAAAAACCCTATCAAAATATTGCCAAAAGGAAGTAAGGAATTAATCTGAGAATGCACTTAATCACTGAGCCAGCTGTGTTTTAGATACAAACCATAAAATCCTAACAAGGAAGAGCTCCCACGCGTGCAAGTCCCTCCTCTCACCTGGGCTGTGACAGCAGAGAGGGCTCCAGCACCTTCAGGCTCAGACAAGACCCATTCATAGAGCCAGGGCCAGAGTCACCCTCACCCTTTCTTAAACACCCACAGCCTCCAACACAGATATGCCAAGAGACTGCATCTGCTTACCAGGCTGCAACAAAGAGACTGCAATTACAATAAAGTTCCAGGCCCGATGTTCAAGTCTTTATTTGATGATTTTGCAGTCTCAGAAGCAGAAATTTCTTACCTTCAATGTGGGAAATATGGGTGAAGTTCCCATAAATTACGCTTTATACTCATTCCCTGGCCCATATGGTGCACAGTAAACAAGAAAACAGTACTGCAGTATGTAGATGCCATTTTCCTGCACACCACAAAACCAAACCAATCAACCAAAAAACCATTAAGTCATCAAGTCTTTCCAATAAACAAAACACCCAACCCAACATTTAAAAAAACCCCTATGTTCTAAAGCCTAAAGTAGAACCCCAGATGCAGTACATAACAAAACCTTTGCATGCATTAGGAACTTACCAATGACATATTACTTTTACTCATTTAGTTTGGCTAAAACTGTACAAAACAATGAGGAAAGTCAGCAGCGTACCAAACAAGCAGGAGGTACACGAACAGGAAAAGGAAACCAAGAACAAGTAGATGTGCAGCACTGGAGAGAAAGGAATTTCTAGGCATTGCCCAGAAGACCTTAAAGGTAATCCCTCCGGTGGTCCCTTCTCCCTCCCCGAAGTAGGACTTGAGTCAAACAAAGGCTTTAGCCCTCTTCCCCGCTCATACCAACTGGGTTTGGAGCACCATGTAGAGCCAAGATCAGTTACAGACCCCACAGGTCTGGTGCCACAGCAGACTCCAACAGACTCCTTCCTCTGTTTATAGCTGTAGGTGCCATTTCCTCTATTCTGTTAAAAAAACTGTGCAGTTAAAACCATAGTTTCCTTTTCTCCCATTACACTTCTACAGGTGGAGAAAGAGGCTTTCATACCTGGCCCTAGGTGTCTCAGATAAATCACAGAAGGAAAAGAGTGACCACTGCGTGGTTTCTAATACCAAGAGATTCTTCCAATTTCCTAATGATGGCAGGAAAACAACCTTAACTACATTCAGTGATGTGCCAAATACCAACAACATGTACAGCAAGATAAGGACATTACTGTGTGTTCCCCTGCCTTTTCCACAGAATGCCCATGAATGACATAGAAGGTAACTAAACGAGGCCACAAGTTTATCAATCCAGCTCTGGTCGGACCACATGTATGTGTCCATTCTTTCCTGGATTACAGAAATACCTTTCCCACTTAATCTTGGATTTTCTCCTGGAATTTTGGATTAATAGCCCCAGGAGGCCTGTTTATGTGCAGATACATTTGGGAACAGCTGGAAAGCACTTAGAGAAAAGTCTTGGTGCAGCCTTCCAGAGCACTGCATCTGTTTTGTTCTTCTCTTTCTGCACATGCCTGATCACTCTTTCCCCCTCCCACATTGCTTTCTAACGTTTCATATTAGCACATGCTCACCTACACTTAGTTATCTTTTCCCCCCACAATTAAAGTCCTCCCCTGCACAGTCATCTCCTGCTGAAAATTAGTTTCCTACTGATGGCTCCATTTAAGGCAAGGTTCTCTTTCACTCTCCCCTTCCTACATAGCAGCAGGCCCTCTCTGCTAGAGAAAATTCTGCTAGCTCCTCCTACAATTCCAGCAACCTTTTATGATGGTCAAGGTATTATTTACATTTAAATTTTGGAGTCTAACTAAAAGCATTCATATCAGGCTAACAACCAGATGGGCAGCCACTGACTATTTAAATAGCTTCTCATATTGGGAATCTTCTCTCAAGCAATCAGAAAAACCCAAATAAATGACATGAGACAGGCTTCATACCTACCAACATCAAATTCCCAGTTCCCAACCACTCTCTAAAATTGCTGAAATGCTCACTCTATGATACACTGTAATTCTACTAAGGAGGAGGAAATGCATAAATTAAAATTATATGGATTATGCCCTACGCAATAAGCAACCAAAGATTTTTTAACAGTAGCAATTTCTCTCTCATATTTAGAAACTCCAACCAAAAAAATTTACATGCCATGAAAATCCTCAACAAAGACTTGCATGTATCTCACATAATTGAGGAAGTACTAATAATAGCGTGGCTGTTTGCACAGACAACATTTCCACTGTGGGCCTGAATTCTGATCTTGAATGTGCAGAAGAAGATATTTTGTTGTGTGTTGCTGGCTGGAGACTAAAATCAAAGTACTGGAAACCATCTGAGTATGCTGCAATGTGCAGTCAGGCTATGCAGCTAAGGAAGCACCATGCACATCCACACCACATTGAAAACAAAGCATCTATTGAGTACTGCAGAAGGTGATCGTGTTGTGTGTTCGTGTAATGAACATAAAGAAGCACGTGAAGTTAACCGGTGTTGCAGTTTTAAACAAAAATTAAAGCCTTTGCATTTCAGCATCAACTGTCAGTCAGTACAGAAAAATAACTTGTCCTGACAGATGAGAACTCTATTTCTAAGCTCCTCCAACACAAGCAAACCACAGCCACAGCTTCCCTTTCTGGTCTACGCTGCATAAATTTAGTCCTGCTCAGGTATCCGCATCTGCGATGCCCATAGCCGTGCTTCTAATAGTGGTTATTAAAGGTTTTACCCCAGAAGCATATTTACAGAAGCAGCAAGGGAGCCTCACATTTCTCATGCTTTATTCTTTTTTTAAAGTGCTAAATTAACTATATATAGATCTATGTCACAAAGTATTTGCAAAGTACTTCTGTTAAATGGTACTTACTTTTAACTTTTTTTTTTCTTTCATGTGCTAAGGATTACCCAGAAGAATTTCACAAACTAAAATTTAGAGTACCATACAAGAGAAGAATCAACAAGGATGACTAACAATGATCAATATATAGCAGAAAGTAATTGATGTGCAACATACATGCACGGCAAGCCCACATTTTAGATATGATGGTGCTTCATTTAAATCCTATGTTAGAAATTCACATCAGTAATTAAGTCATAATCCTACATAATTGACTTATGCAGTATCAGTAGAAATTCTGTACATGGAATAAGCTGTAAGAACAAGCTACTACTTCCACATAAAAGGCATTCATAACTCTAAGAACCAAAACAAGCACACTGGAGCTTAAAAGTCCATTGCTCTTGAGTAGTAGATGTTATGTTGTCGTATCACTGACATGATCAGTTTCAAGTCACTAGCTCTCATAAAAAACACAGAGGAAGGTTTGTTTTTTTAACAACTCCAACCTTGCCTGCTATGTTGTAATTCATTAAAAATAAGGAAGATCCTTGAGTAAAAGATGCCACGGAAAGATCATATGCCGGTCACGCCACCCAGGAGCTGCCATGACACAGCCGTTCCACAACTCGGGACGCTTCCCAGCCCTTGCGTGTGTTTGGGCCAACAATGCTGCCTGTGTTAGGAGCACTGTCCCCTTACCGACCCCAAAGCCATCTGAAAGGCAACACACAGACTAGATCCTGCTGAGGGCCACTTCCACCCAACTCGCTGCCTTTCCACTCGTGGGCCGGCAGGGAGACTATAGACAAGGGGCAATACCTGTTCTGGCAATGCACAAAGTCCAGCTCATGCCACATGCCTAACAGTCTTGCCAGCTCCTGTCACCTTCTTATACCAGCTAAATACCTTATCAGAAAGTCCTAGGCCATGTCCCCATACCTGCACACATGCCAAACCACGAACAACACTGGCCAACTCAGGCATCTGCCTTAACCTGTGCAAAGAACCCACCACAAAGAGCAAAACTGTTCCCTATCAGAGACCATCCTGATTTTTAGAGGGTGACACCACGTGAACACTACTTGGAACAAGCAACAAGACTACTGTGCTTAGAGCTAGCATTCCCTCCAAGCAAGGCTTTATTCTGCATCCTCACTGCTGGCATTAATGGGCTATATAAACATAGAAACGTATATAAACATTATCCTCCCCACCTGCCCTAAGCGGCCACACTGAAATTTAGTGATTTCAAATGAGTGGATGATTTGCAGAATCACACCATCAGTGAGAACTTGATTTATGTCTTATTCCTCTAAGGAAAAAGCTCCTAAGAGGCCCTTCCCTCCACCCCTCTCTGTAGATCAGACAAGTGCTACTAATGTTCACAACTCCACAAGGTCCTGATCAACACCACTTAAGAGATCTGGTGAACGGAGACTGGCACTGGCTTTCACATTCACAGGTACACCTAAAGTCACAACTGACACTGTCAAAACCTGTAGTCTTCCGAATTTTCAGACCATGACACCATGAGCCGGTAAGCTCCCACCTAAAATTATGAGCCACACCAAAATCTGCAGATCTGACCTGTGTCCTGCAGCACGTTGATGGGAGCTCAGACACTATCAGAGGATGACAGAACTTACTCAAGGGTCCCACAGGAAGTTAGTGGGGTGCAAAGCTGGGCCCCAAGATGACGAATGCATAAATATAACTACATGTAATGAGGACAGGGTCCAATTTTTTTTATTATTTCTCATACTAAACACCAATTAAGAGTCAGATTTAGAGGACAAGGAGATCATTACATCACAAGATTCCATACCCTGCTTGAGAAGAACAACTACAAACAATAGAGGCAATGGCTGGCAGATCGTCACACAAAGGCTCCTCTGCTTCACGGAAGAGAAGTCAATGCAAGCCACATGCCCACAGGAGAGTCCTGTTGCATGGGTGAGCGTGCAAGGCTAATACCCAGGGACAATCCAGGTCTGCCCTGAGCTTTTCCAAAATGCCGGAGTACTTTGATTCCCAAGTCAGTCTTAGCTCTTATTCAGAAGAGATTTTTAAACCTAGGCTTTTAAACCCAGGCTTGATACAAGGGCAGAGATGGAATGACAAAACACTGCAAGGTGTACTCCAAACTGAATGAAACACAAAACGAGGAGGAAGCAAAGGTTCAGAAAAGCCATTAGCTGTAATGACAAGCTGGTGCCAATGTAAGATAAGGAAAGAAGAGTTAAAAATCTAAAGCAATGGTACAGTTCTGCTTTGCAGCCGTCAGGGTGGGACTGAAACATAGACCAGGCAGAGCTGTCATCACAGATTACACCTTGGTCCATACCAACACACACTCATGCTTCTGTAGCAGAAACCATTGAGACAGAGAGGCCAAGGAGGCACATCTGGAAACGAAAGTTCAGCAAGCCCCAAAACATTAGAGTTCACAGCAATCACGAAGCTCTCCTACCAGAACGCTAGGAAGCTATCAGCTGAGAGAAGAACGGGGTGAAAGTCTATGCCAGCGTATGATGAGTGTGTCATCTGGCAAAGGATTTTGAGTTACATCACTAAAAGGTGTTCTTGGAAGAACACCCTGCAACGCACTTGGGGCGCAGAGGAAGGCTTAAAACACTAGTGTGCTGGCAGAGGCCTCCTGCCGACCCACCGCCCCACACCACGGCCGGGTTCTCCCATGAAAAACTCCACACCGCTCCCAAAGGCTGTAACCCGGTGGGTGATGCAGGCTACCAGCACGGGCGACGTGCAAATAACATATTACTAATTAACCAGCAGCGACACGACGAGGGCAGGCTACAATACTCAGTGGGGAGACAGGAGCCGTCCCTGCTCTCTACCTAAGGCAGCTTTTAGGGCTGTAAACAACCGGGGCAGCCCCACGCCCCGAGAGGAGCCGGCCGGCTGTACCACCGGCTCGTACCCCCGCCACACCCCCGCCGCTGCCGGCCAGCGACAGCCCCCCAGGCGGCGGCCGGCCGGAGCTCAGACCCCCCGAAGGGCAAGGCGGAGAGCGCCGGTGGAGGCCGAGGCCCCGGGGATCCCGCCCCGGCTCAGCACCGCCTCCGCCGGGCCACGCCGCGGCCCCCCTCAGCCTCCCCTTCCCTTCCCTCGGCGGGCGGCACCGGCGGCACCGCTGCGGGACAAAGCCCGAGCGCCGGCCGCACACCTGCCCCGCCAGCCGCACGCCTCCCGGCGGAGCGGAGGGG